ATCGACCTGGGCTGCCACACCAGCAGCACGGTGCTGTAACTGAGGCTAAACTTCAAGGTTGATGAGGGAGGGGTACATGTTGTCAGATTGAGGAAAAAATTCACCAGGAGAGTTTTCTTGACTAATAGAATGAATTCTGGGGGTTGGAGCTTAGACTTTCCGACTTTCAATTTTAAGGACCACCATAGTTTTTTATATATCGGAGACCTATAATATATGCCTAAAAATAGTATAATAGGTGAATTTTAAATAAACGGAGCGCTGCTTTCCCTTCCATATTTTGCTTGAATCTTGTGTATATACTGTACAAATTAGGGCTGCACCATATAAGAAAAAACTGACATTGCAATATTGCGCTTGATTTGATATGCAGCACAGTTTTTCGTGAGAAGAGCACCCATTTTAAACCTCAGTATTGCAGGCAATCATGTTCATAGAACTGTGGGAAATCTAAAACCGAGAACACAATTCATATTGTCCAAATTGCATTCGATTGGAGTACTTCAATCTATGACAAACGGTGACTGCTTATTCCTGCATTCACAAGCCTTCATCTGAAAAAGCCCTGTGAGAGTCGGCACATAGAAACAGATTGATGCTAGGTTGCATATGTTGCAAAATTAGCACAAGTTGCGTTAATTAGCATTAATGGCATTATAGCCATAGCATGTGGGCAATACTTATAAAATGGCTTGGTGAATTTGGACAATTTTGGATACAAAATGGCATCTCTAACCAAACCATCTGGCATATAGAAACTGCCGGATGCTAACTTGCATATGTTGGGCAATTTGCACAATTGGCATAATTGTGTTGATTAGCATATGCAGATAATTTTGTGGCTAAAAAGAGTAATAAAGGTCTTTTATTTATTCAGGTATTAAGGAAGTGGTCTATCTTTCTGATAAGTACCATGACACACCGGAGATGACCGCCTCAAGAAGGCTGATGGGTTTGGCAGGCATACAATACAGGTGAGGAACAATTGGAAGTGTTGGCTCTATTTTTATTATTTTTTATTACCCAAGGTCAAGGGGTTTACACCCACATACTAGGGCTGAACGATTAATCGATTTTAAATCGCAAATTAAAATGATGCGATTATCAAATCGCAAAGCCTGCACATTTTTTTTTTCTTCTTGTGTGTCAGTCATCCACACCAATCAGAAGTGCTGTGCTCCACATGTACCAGCCATTGTTAACCAATCAGAATTGGCCCATGATAGAAGGTGATAGACAGATTGATCCAATCACCTGCCAAGTATTTTTGAAAGTGCCTGCCCTTTCCAAATGGCTTCCAATGGAGCTTTCCTAGATGGTTTGGTGAAACAAACCATCTGAGTCAGGTTAGTAATTCTCCATCACATGTTTTACATCTATTGCAGGGTGAATCTTAAACTGAAGCTTGACTTTAAAGCAACCCAACGGAAGTTTCATGTAGGTTTAGTTCTTTCACTCGTAGCTCAGGCTGCGGGGGTGCTAGAGACGGGAGCATGTTATGTTGTAAAACGCATACAAACGCTGCTGAAGGTTAATCCAATGTCTCTGTCACTTTGAAATGATTACTGATAATCCATCATAACATTTTTGAAAAAACTGAGTTTTCATATAAAGCAGGGGTCGGCAACCTTTTTGATATGAAGATAAAAAAAATGTTTTTATCAGCGTGCCAACGATCGAGAATTATCAACGTGGGGGTGGGGGGGGGGGGGGGTTGAGGAGCTTGACGCTCGTCAACTATCAGCAGGAGGAGCAGTGTGTGGACCTGTCAGCGCAACTTACATGATGCCGAATTTAACAAATACATTTAAATAATTGGTTTAAACGGCATAATAAGGACGATCGTCCGTTCTGTGATTCTCCAGAGCACACATGTTATGATATTAGGGTCATGCAGAGTGAGATGAGATCGCTGTCCCTTTAAGAGAGAGAGAGAGAGAGAGAGAGAGGGGTGTGGCTTGTGCATACGTGTTTGTGGATGGTAGAGCGACTCTGAGGGAACGTGTGTATGTTTCTGGAAGTGAAACGAGGAAGCAGAAAAACAGAGGTCTGTGATGTATTTTGTGAAACAGAAGAACAGCTAAATAAATGCAACGGCCTCCCAAGAAGAGCTCGCCTCTCTCCAGTCATTTAAGCTAAAGTGGGTTATTGAACCTGAAGCTTGTTGCTTCTGCCCTCCTCGA